ATTCATAAAAAATGACAATTTTTTCAAGCCTTCTATAAGAAAAAAAATAACCTCCGCCACTACTTTTGGACTGCCCTAAGTGTATATATATATATATATATATATATATATATATAGGACTTTCATCTGTAACTGAAGATTATTTGGCATAAACAAACATGAGAGATTACAGTTCGTTTATTTGTTTTATGAGAATATATTCAATCAATTTTACTTGAAATTCAAAAATTGATACTATTCATGTTTATATTAATTTTGAAATTGTAACTAAGTATTATATATTTATATGAAAAAAAAGTATTCATCTATTTTCTAAGACAATTATTATCTATAATAATGGAAAATATTCATGAAAATTTTTTGGTCGTGAAAATTCATCCACATGAAGTTTTTTTATTTTAGCACAATTGCGACGTATTCGATTATAAGTAAAATTCTTTGTTATCATTGCGAGTGATTTGAATTCGATGCATAGATCTAATAAAGAAGGTAGATGAGTGTTTTTATCGAAGAGAAGTTGTTCAGCATAATCCACATCTGCGTCAACCAGATTGAGAAGAATAAGATGAGGAAATATAATTAATGTAGACGAATGTTGTTTATTGTTTTGTGGTTGATGATTAACAACATATAACTCTTTGAGAAGAGGAAAACATTGAGAGATAATTATGAATAAATTATATTCAAAAGGACGTCCATCAGTCATTGTTAAGTGTCGAACTGAGTCAAACATATCACCTTGAAAAGAATTGTTAAGATGAAGAAAATATTGAAATTGATATGGAAGTGAATAGACATGCGACATGCCTATATTGTCTTCTGATCTAAAATGGACGTAAGAGCCAACTTGTCCATATCTGTTTCCAATGAAACTATGTTGAACATCTTCATTCGATGGCAGATCGATTTTCATCTTTCTGTTAATAACACCTGTGTTTATACTGAATGTAAATTTATTCAATTGTGTCATATAAATAAGAATTTGATCGTACAATTTGGTACCATCAATATAAGTCGTGTATCTTTTTAATACTGCCAAAAATAATGTTAATTCTGTAAGATTTATCATTCGACGAAGTAATGGAATTATTTGATCATCATAGTGAGTTGTGAACTCTATTAAAGTCAATGAAAAATATTTTAATTCGGGAAGTTTTTCCTACAATGAAAATATAATTAAGATTTTGTTTCTTTTCAAAATAGAAGAGATTTTAATTTCTATTTACTTTATTGTTTCTATCTGATGAACTCAATAATATTTCTTTCACATCAATAATTAATGTTGATAAATATTTGAGATTTCGAATAAGATAAAGACAATCATCAAATTTTTCGACATTAATTTTTAATTTAGTTAATGTCGATGATATACAACTTGTTGATGGAAACTCATAAATAAAAATTGGAATTTTTCGATCAGAAAATAGTTGACAAAAATTCAAATTAATCAATCGTTGACACTTAGATAAAATCAATACAAATATACTTGATAAAATTAAAGATGATTTTGATTCTAGTTCATACGAAACATCAATATTAAGATCTGTAATTTGTTGAGTAAGAAGATGATGAAGAATTGAATCACCTATCAATTATGTTATACTATATTATCATTTCATTATTTAATATAAATAATATACCTGTTAAATATTGAAAAAGTATTTCTTCTTGAAAATTAACAAGTGATAATGAATAAAGTTGTGGATAATCAACAGTAAAAAGAATATGTTCCATTGAATTTTGTTCAACAATAAGTTCATTTAATTGATGATGAATTCGTGGTAAGATTTTTTCACATAGTCTTAAAAGAAAATTTTTGTCTAGTGAAAAATTACGATCATAATATGAATTTATAACCATGCTTGTCGTATCAAGATTCCGAATATGAATTGAATGAAATATTAATCGATTAAATCGTTCATTAACATCAGCAAGTGAATAGAGAATATTGATCGTATTCATTTTATTCAAAATGACTAATAATATTTCATCAGGTAAATCGAGTATATTAAGATTATTCTTATTTGAAGTTGTCATGTCTGATTCTGATTATCTTGTTTGTTTGATTATATTTATGAATGTGTTTCTCATTGCTCTCTATCATCCCAAATAGACTGAAAAAAAATGAAACGAATTAAGCAATGTGATTGGTTAATTCTGGCTTAAGTTATCTTCTTTTTTTGGACGGTTTATTCGGTTAAGATAAGCTACACTCACACGCTACACACACAAATGTGTGTAGCTTATCCTAGCGTGTTTCCGCCAATAGAATTACTTTCCATTTTTTATTCTCATCAATCCAGAAATTGTTTGACTCTGACATATATTGAAAAGAATTAATATAACCAGATATATTAGTTGAATTGTCAGATATTCTTTTTTAGTTAGTTGCTTATGAAAATAAAGTAAATGCTCAAGTTGAGTTATCTATTATTTTCAATTCGATTGATTATTGATTTTCATCGTTTAATATTGAAAATTCAAATACGAACTAAACCAAAAGTTGATTCATAAATCAAAATAAAATAATATTTAAAAAATCTTTTTTTCTCATATTAGAACAATCTTGTTTGATTTGTATTCAAGAGAAAAATGTATGTTCTTAAAGAAGAAATTTCAAAACAACTTTTGAATTATTTGTCAATGTTAAAGTTGATTTTTCTGAGTTACTTGTTTTCTGTTTTAAATCAGGTTTTG